TGACAGGGAAAGTAAGTGAAAGGAGTTAACAGAATACTCCCCAGCATCAGTAGAGTAAGGAGGAGCATGGTCTGGGGTTTGTTGCTTTTTTTTTTTTTCTCCACCTCCTGCTTTCCTTATGTTATACTGTATTATTTTTCTTAAAGGTGCACCTGAGATGGCTGCAAGACCTGCATGTCCCTTTTATGGGGGATCAATAAAGTATTTATCTGTCTGTCTGTCTATCAGACTCCTAAGGCAGCTTAGCTCAGATTGTGGTTTTTATTTCTGTTTCTCAGTGGCCTGGTCATTTCAAAGAGCATCGTTTTAAGCCTGGTCTTTTGTTGGGTTTGGATCACACAAGAATGATCTGGTCTAAATAGACTTAAAAATGTTCACTTTTGTGGTACAGTCCACAAGACAGAGGTACAGAGATGAGTCTTGACTTGATAAAACAAACTAAGACTTGGGACTTGAGGCCTGTGACTTGAGAAGACTTGATGCTTCTCCTAAAAATAAATATGTTTTTAGAAAACATTTTTCTCTGTTCAGTTGATGCATGCAGCGCTTAATTTTACAGGAACAAACTGGAACATGTCCCTCCCACTTCTCTATTTGTTACTTTGGATGTAACTGAAGTACTGTGATACTCAAAAGTACTACAGTAATAAACAGTACAATACAGTAAAACAAAGAGAGTTACATAGAACATAATCCTTCCATTTCAGTGAAGACTACATGACAAATTAACTGTTATTTAACACTTTTAAATCTGAATTCTTTCTATTCTGACTGTAATGATTCACATTGAGATCGTGTCAAGACATTTAAAAAGGAAAAAAAAAAAAGCTTTTTATAAATACTCATATATAAATATACCATGACTTTTTAAGTACAATTTAGTTTAAAATTCATATAAATTGCAGAAATCCAAGCTTATATTTGGTCCTTTGGTTTAAAGACTTGAAATGACTTGAAGCTCAAAGCAGACGACTTGGACTTGACTTATGGATCAGTGACTCGAGACTCGACTTGGACTTGCCTGTATTTGACTTGGGACTTGACTCAGACTTTAGGTCAAAGACTTGAGACTTAATTGAGACTTGCAAAACAACAACTTGGTCCCACCTCTGCCAAAAGAGCTCAGGTCAGTGCAGCCATGGCACAGTAAAGGGAAGAGCCCACTGCATTCACACCTCAATTCAACACGATACAACTCTGTACAAGTTAGTCTGCAGTACATTATCTATGTACAACCAATTTTTTAGCCTGGTCATCTAGATAAAATTTTTTATACAATTGAACAGACATACAATTTATAGGACTTTTAAGCATAGACAGACGTTATTTTGGGGTAAATAATTGTCGAGGCACAGAGGCAGAAGGCCCTAAAAATACAAATAGACTACAATCTCGCTCGCCGGCATTTGTAACCATAAATGTTGTTTAACAAGTCCACCCCGGAGGGAACAGGGAACTTATAACTAAAGGCAATGCAGCTAAGTATAAAGGGACAGGACATGAAATAGAAAAAAGTACAGTTTTATTAAGATAATGACAGTATTTATTGACAGTAAAAAAAAGCAGCTTCAATACACACAACAGCCTGAATTAAAAAAACAACAACTTTGATTCACAGTTTGAGCCCTTAAAATGTTTGTTTGGATTTGTTTGGCAAATGAACAAGTAAGAATCACATAATACTCACGAGTGGAACACGCAACACAAGGCACAGTCACCAGGCTTTAGGCCCAAGAGACGTGATTTAGAGCAAAATTAAGACTTGGGGCCCGATCTTGCCCCTGATCTTAGCACTAGCACTAGCATTAAGGAGTGGGCATGTCCGGGTGGGGCTGGACTTTGCTGCTGGAGGCTGGAGTGGGATGGTACAAATATGTGAGGACATCTGAACCAATCTGTGACCGCTGTGGTGTTTAAAAGCGCTGCCCGTGTGGGTAAAGTCTGTAATCTTTGCGTCATTATCAGACAGCAAAGAGGAGTGTGGCAAAAAGTTATAAATGTGACAATAAAACTGCTCCGAAGACCCACGATGCAAGTACACACCAGCAGAGGCATCGGGAATATAGAATTTTGGAAAGACTGTGACAGAACTGGTGGCACACATCAACCTTCTATAGTTTTCTGTGCGTTTGTTTTCTTCCCGGTGCCGCTACCACCAACTCGCCTCAGGTACAAGTGTCCACCACCACTGCTCCTGCTGACCACTCACACTCTCATCTCTCGAGTCCACTGCCTTTGGTCCCACACAGGTGGAAGTCTCATGGATTATAGAATACGTTTATTGTCATATAAATGTTTCTGACGTTACTGGTTTGTGCTTAGACATAGATTAAACCAGGGTTGCTCAATACATCGATCCCGATCTACCAGTCGATCGCCAAAGTCGTGTGGGTTGATCGGCGTGTCTTAGTACTCTTCTCAGACTCGATCACGTTTGGACTCGGTCTTGTCTCTCACTCAAGGTCTGACACTCAACAAGTGTGATCATATTTCATTCCGGCCGCTGCTGTTGGTAATAAACTTGTAGCGGGTGCAGGAGCGTGTGGGGCGTCTCAGTGCAGCCTGTGTGCTCATTTGAAACCCGCGGAGACTCTACGGCGCATCACAAACACACACGCTCCCTATGCACGACTCGTCTGCAACAGCGTGTGCCCTCGTGTACCAGCGTGCATCACAGGACAGGTTCAACTTCCTAAACATCCTACCTGTCCATCTGCCTCACGTCAGCACGCCGCCCCTCGCCTTTTCACGCTCTCGCTCCTTCCTGCGTACAGCGAACACAAGCCCCTCCCACAGTGCGGCTGATTAGAAGAACAAGACCAAACGTGAAGCAAAAACCAGTCTAAATTTATGTTCCAGTGTTGGCACAAAGCAGGTCTACAGCATAGAGCGGATCTACAGAACAGACCTACTGCCACATTTGGCTGAAGTTTGTCTAACAAAAGTTCACAAATGCATCTGTGTTTGTCACAATGTGCGTTTGGTTTGGTAAACGTGCAGAGGCTGGTAAATATCACTGCAAAACCAGAAAAGAATGCAACTCCAGTTTGGAACTTTAAAAAACAGGTTTAAAAATCTTCCTTCCCTTTTTTCACAGTTTTGTGTAAAGTGCCAGAGGAAGTTCTCTTAAAGAAGAGGTTCTCAAACTGTGGATGAGGGTCCAAAAAAGGGGCACAGAGTGTTTCAGTGCAGTTTGCTTGGCTTTGGATTAGATAGATCATTTTGACTTGGTGATTTTGTAAGTAGCGCTGAAAAAAGTGTGAGCATCCCTGACCTAGACTATTCCCTATCAGAAATACATTTCTTAGATTTAAATATTTATAAGGACCTTGATGGGGATTTACATAGCACAATTTTCTTTGAAAATAAATGCCCAAGATATGAGTTGTAGATTCAAAAACAGAGGTTACACAGATAGCATTGTGTCCTCAGCCCATAATTGAGCCAAAAATCTTAATAGAGAAGAACTACTGGCTCAGAAACCAAAGAAAAATGTGCATCCTAACCAAGTGTACTTTGTAACTGAATATGGCACTGAAGCAAACCGAATCAAACAAAATAATCAAACAGAACTGGAGTATATTAAGAAGTGACAGTATCCTAAGAGACGCTCTCCCAGAGACCCCCACCATCAGCTTTAGAAAAGCCCCAACGCTCAGTGATAGACTGGTGAACAGTTATCTCCCTCCATCCAAACAAAAGACATGACTGGACACTAAGGCTGGTTGCTACAGATGTGGTAACTGTACTTATTGTGAACATGTACAACAGACTAACTCCTTCATGGACATTCACTCAGGTCAAAGTTTTGATATTAGGACATTCATTAATTGAATACACTTACGTAGTGTACAGAGTTGAATGCCCATGTGGTCATTTTTACATAGGCCCAACAAAACGCAAACTGAAAAACAGACTGGCTGAACACAAACAGGCTGTAAGGACCTGGAACCCTCTGTATCCTATGGCTGTGCATTACAAAGAAGCCAACCATGACAGCTGTAAAAGCCTGAAAGTCTGTGCTATTGAACATATTAAAGAAACGATAAGAGGAGGAGATAGACTGAAAAAACTATTACAGAGAGAGTCCTACTGGATCTACACTCTCAAGGCCACCCAGTGTCCAGGACTCAATGGAGAGTTAGATTTCTCCCCTTTCCTTTAAAACCACAAACTTTAAATGATTAATCAATTTCTGTTTTACATCTCTGACCCCATGAAACTGTTTAAGACTAGCCCTTTAATATATATATATATATATATATATATATATATATATATATATATATATATATATATATATATATATATATATATATATATATATATATATATATATATATATATATATATGTTCCTTTGTCTGGTTGGGTTTGTTTTGTTCTGTTCAGTTTGATTTTGAGTTACCCCAGTTGGGCCCGGCTTTTTTTGTTAATACTTTGCCTAATTTGAGCATTTCTTATATTATATCTTTTTTGACTTTATTAAATTAAACTTATTTTTATACCTTGTCTTTGCCTTTCTGTTTGGTCCACTACACTGGTTATGGTTCACTGTATATAACAATATTTATCTATGAATTCAGTTACTGTTAATAATTCACAGTTTTTATTGTAAATGTTATGATGTGGAAGTTATTGGTCACATTACCCCCCACAGTCTCACACCAGAGCGTGCCTAACTCCAACTTCTTCAAATCTAACCTGCTCACTCAGCACACCTATGGGGAGACGCTGCAACTAGACTGTGTCTGTGTCTGTGCTGCATTATTGGGGACGTGTATCGATATTACCCTAACTGTGTTTTAATTTGCTCCGTTAAACTTCAATCCAAAAATGATTCTATCTACCTACTCTACAACTGTGAAGAGTGACAAATGTAAAATATAAATCCATAGTCATGATGTAAAGACACAGCCAACAGATCTGAGAGCCTCCTACTGCTAAAACTGTTGTCAGAGAATTGTTCATAAATGTATCAGAACCTCCACATTTCAGGATAATCATATTTTTGTCTTTTTATTGCAATCACAGCAGAACATTCCACATAATCTACATGCACTGGTGAGTACAACATAAAATACACTTGACTTTTATTACATGAAGCACATTTTAGGAACATAAAGTAAAATCCACAAATCAAAATAAAATCCAACATCATTACCTAACACTGATGGTGCATCATTTACATTACTAGTGGTGAATTTTAAATTTGACATGAACACAAAATAAACTAAAAAATACTTGATTACTGAATAAAACCATTGGATTATGATTAAAATGTATTCACATATTTCCAACACCTTTCCAAATGTCTCAGAGTAACATACTGCTTTTTCTCTGCATTTAAAGCTGCACTATGGAACTTTTCTGGTGGTTAAAATAAGCACATCATTGACTGCATTATTCTTTTTAAATGTAGAAAGAGTTAAAAGATTCTTCCCACATCTCAAACTAATATTACATTTTCAATGATTTTCATTTTTATACAAAGAGTCAAAACATCACACTTTACACAAAACACTTGAGAAATAGAGTTTTGTATAGTTTCACATGGAGAATGGAACCTCATTGGTATTATTAATTGCATGAGTGGAGTGGGGATGGGTTATATTAATCTGTTTCATTGATTAAATAAGTAAAAAATGCAAATTTCAATGGCAAGGACCACGCGACAATAATGATATACGATAAGTTGATGTTGTATAGATGTGATGGCTGGGAGGACAGGGGTGGACTGATTGTTTGATTGATTGTTTGATTGATTGATTGATAAATAGGGCTTCTGATTGAATTTAAGGTGTGGTTGAGCTGTAGTTTGCTGGAGAGCAGCAGGGGGAGGCTGAGGCCTGGTCCTGTGCCTGAATCTCAATCAGATTAACTACACTAAAAGATCTGTATGTATATGTGGATATTCTGGAGAATATCTCACTGTGGCCACCCTGGAGTTCTTGCATTTTCATTATAGTCTTCAATCATAAACCGCGCTTGGAGTCCTGGAGAAACTACTGTACCAGTGCAGTACTCAAAAGTCTTATACTCATCAGAATCAGAGCCTTGTTTAAAGTAGGTCACATACTGCCACTGCTTGCTATAGTAATTATCTGTGTTCTCTCTATCAGACTCATACAGTGCTACCCATGAGTTAGGAAACCTGGACTTCCACTCATCACAATCATCTATATACAGACGGAAACAGCTGTAGCCATTTCTAACAAAGAGCTGCAGTTTGGCAAAGTTGTAGTTTTGAATTGGAACTGCGTGTGGACTTTGAAAATCTTTCCCTCTGCAGATCTCATCCTTCACTGTTAAAAGGAACCAACCAGATTCATATTTGTGCAACCTCACCTGAAGCCCCTCATCCAGTGATACATCAGTTGCATAACTGCCCTCAGTGCTTGTAAGTTCTATGTATTCTTTTATTTCCTGTTTCATCTGGTTGTTGATGAGCAGTAGAAGGGCACCTTCATCTATGTAGTGTTGAGGAACATTTCTCCACACAACATTGGCATATCCATTGTATCCAGTCACCACATCAACATAAATCTGTTGTAACTCACAGGTTTGCCACTCAGATGTGGAAAACGCAGTGCCATAACTGCGCTTCATCCTTCTAAAATGTTTGATCAGTGATATAAGCAGCCCTAGAGGAGCTTGCTCTCTCCCCCATGTCTTTATAATCTCATTTAACAGCCTGTTATCTATGTTCTGGTTGTACTGGTCCCTCAGCCTCTGCAGTGCCGCCACATCGTCGTTGAATGAAAACTGTTTGAGTTCTCTGAGCAGCTCGGGGTTTATTTCAAAGGTGCGAGCTGGGTCATACGCAGTATTTAGGGCAGTGCAGTTGTCCCATTCATAATGTTGGGTGAGATAAGTTTTTAGGATGTATTCATCGTTTCCATCTTGGTTTACACAAAGGAGAATGCGAGCTCTGTTCATGTTGGGAGTGTTCAGACCTTTGGGTTTGCAGACATATGAAGGAACTTTCTTGTTGTTTCTGCATGTGTTTGGCCTATTATTAAGCCAGTTAATTATATTTAAAATTACCCATAGTGTAGTAATTGCAACTTTCAGGGGCAGGGTCCAGCAAATTTTCTTTGTTTCTGTAATCATGGGAACCATAATCTTCAGTTGGGTCAAATTTTGGATAGACTTTGTTGTTATTGTCGATAAAAACTTGGTTGGCAAGCAGGTGAAGCAGAAGGATGTTGTGCTCAGGAATAGGGTTCAGATCATCAGTGGAATTGAGCTTTGGAAACTTCTTTGCACCAAAGACACAGCTCAGTGCTGCCAGAGTGAGGAGCCAGACGAGGATGGCTCTGGATCTCTTCATTGTTCTGTTCACAAAATAAAACAGGAAAAAACATCATTTAAAAAGTACCAGCTTCCAGTTCCAACTAACTGTGACAAACTCCAACTGAACACTCCTCATGTGTGCTCTCTGTTCTGTAGGAGCTGAAGCTTTAGCTGTTCTCAGTCTTGGACTGGTAATCTGCACTACGGGCGGCTGGGCTGGTCCACCTCAGACCACAATTGTGTATAGTCACACAAGTGCACTAAAAAAGTGTATTGTTGATGAGCTTTAAATAGTCTCTTAATGAGACAGAGAGGAAATTGAAGAGAAACGATGCCAAATGCTTTTTGCTTAACACTGTGTTAATATCTTTAATGTTAATTAATTAGAAATGTGGAATATAGAAAATAAAATCACAAAGTTAAATCAATAGTTTTCGTATATATTATATTTTCACTGTTTTATCAATTCCACATCATTTAAACTGTCAGTATCAGTAAACGTTATATGTACAGGGCTTTGTAATAAAGTCTATTTTTCACAAACATCTCCAGAGAAACTTTTTTGATGACATAAGAAGATGAAAAGTAAACCAGATGTCCAGAGATCACAGAGTTAAGGCAAAATCTACAAGTTCTATTTAAAATCTCAATTGTACCAGAGTCTAACCTGCACGGCACACATACACTACCAGTCAAAAGTTTAGATTTTACTCCTTTCCACAGTTTATCTCCACACACAAGACGTCAAATATATGAAGCAAGATTGAATAAGTCAGTCACACAGTTGTTATCAGTAAATGCTCTATTTGATTTGAACAGGTTTACCTCATATCTGCCCACATAGTTAGGTCGTGTTTATGCTATTTAAAATCCAAATCTTACACAGTTCCTTTAATAAAATACAAATTTCTCAGAGATCTTGTACATTTGTTAGAATAGCTTCAGGTGAAAGTCTGTAAACATGAAGAGGCGCTCACCGTCAGAAGTGAAGATGTTGTTTGGAGACAGATGTTCAGACTGCAGCAGATTCCACACAGACAGGAGCCACTCGAGGAAGTCCAGGTCCTCAATGTGCTGTGCCTCAATGTGCAGGAGAGTACAGTCTGTGAAGCTGTCACCGACACATTTATAAGGCCCAACAAGTGACTGTGGATAGAGGAGGAGACTTCGTGGAAAAATTTCTTAGAGATCCTGAATATGAGGTACAGTCAAAGGCCGAGGGTTAATAAAGGAATGTAAGGAAGTTAAAAAAAGAACAGAAATGACACAGAGATGCAGTGTGTACAGAAGTGAGAGTCGACCATCAGCTCATCCTGAAACCACGGAAAGAGGAACAGCAGCATCATCTGCTAGATCTGAGAAATCTTATTCAGTTTATTTTTGTAAACCCAAAAACCACAGCAGTTTAGTTTAGTTTAGTTTATTTAATGAGACAGGGACAGAACACAATCTACATTAACTTTAACAGGAGAGATGCTTTGTATCAGGTTATAGCACCAGTGATCATTTCCACCTGTCGTTCCTGGGCAGGTTGATGTTATAGTTCATAAAATCAAACATACAAAGAGAATGTCTTTATGATGACAGAAGCATCAGAACAATTCTTTATCATCATTCACTCCCGGTTCTCCCAGCATCTTAAAAACATCATCTTATCAAAAACATCTTTCAATTCATTCACTCCAAAACATCACACTCTTTCCAGACACTCATCAGTCCACATTATAGGTGCAGGTTTGGTTTGAAAGGAGCCACTGTTTCAGGCGTGAGAATGTGTCATAGTTTGTCCACGTGATCAGCTCAGTTGTAACATGTTCCACTGACAGACCGTGCATAAAAAGGCTGAGTTTCCAAATGCTGTCCTGCGTTTGGGGATCCTACACTCGCCGCACAGTGGATCGAGCGGCTCAGGAGATGGTTTCAGAGCAAAGTTTCACAAGCATATGACAGTGGTGAAAGAGACGACTTTTCTTGTCATGGGTCTTGCGAGCGCTTTAATATAATGATTCTAGTGGCCTCAGAGCTGATTTACAAGCCTGTGACCAACTTGTTATGCAGTAAAAAAGTGTGGCATTATCATTGCATTTAGAGGCACCTGAGGCTTCAGTGGTCACGGAGTTTCTAATATATCTGAAATTGGCCATGTTGAATTTTATGGCATTTGTTAACTTTTTAATGTGCTTTTTAAAACATAAATTTGGTTCCAGAATAATTCCTAGATATTTCACCTGATCAACATTATTAATCTTGTTGATAGTTTTGAAGTTTGTGACGATTTGTAAAAAACACAGAAACAGTTTTGTCAATATTTAAAGTGAGACAAGAGTTTTTAACCAAGCAGAAAGCTGAGTCATCTCTGAGAGTTTCTGAGCCACTTCGTACACAGTTTTACCACGAGTATATACCACAGTATCATCGGCATACATGATTATCTTAACATTACATACAGATTTGAGGTCATTAATATATAATGTGAAGAGCAGGGGGCCAAGTATAGAGCCTTGTGGCTCACCCCTGCTGCATGGTTTTAAGGGAGATTTAACATTATTTACTGCTACACACTGCTGCCTCCCACTGAGGTAAGATTTTATCCAGTTTGTTGTTTTCATATTGAGATGGAAATTTGATAGTTTGCTGATGAGTAAGTCATAGTTAACTGTATCAAAGGCAAGGCAAGGCAAGTTTATTTGTACAGCACAATTCGTACACAAAATAATTCAAAGTGCTTTACAGAATAAGAAATACATTAAAATCATAATAAAACAAATCAAAACATAAATAATCATGAAGATTAAAATTAAAAAAGAGAGACATAAATTGGAGAGAAGAGTGCGGAATGAAAACCTTTCAGTTATATGCACAGTTAAACAGAAATGTTTTGAGCCTGGATTTAAACAGTGTCACAGAAGAGTCTGTCTCACATGTTCAGACTGTTCCAGGTTTTAGCTGCATGAACCTGAAACGCTGACTCCCCTTGTTTAGTCCTGACTCTGGGCACCAGCAGGAGGCCGGTCCCTGAGGTCTTCAGAGTGCGAGATGGTTCATATGACACTAACATGTCACAGATGGACTTTGGTGCTCGGCCATGGAGAGACTTGTACAAGCAGAGCTGCTTTAAAGTCTATTCTCTGAGGCACAGGAGCCAGAGCAGAGACCTGAGCACAGGACTTATGTGCTCGTACTTCCTAGTTCGAGTAAGGACCCGAGCTGCAGCATTCTGGATGTTCTGCAGCTGTCTCACAGCTCGTTTGGAGAGACCAGTGAGCAGACCATTACAGTAGTCTAATCTACTGGAGACAAACGCATGGATAAGTTTCTCCAAGTCTACTTTAGACAGTAAACCTTTGATTTTTGCTATGTTTTTAGATGGTAAAAGGCTGCAGATGTTATTGATTTGATGTGGCTGTTAAAGTTCAAGTCTGAGTCCATTATTACCCCTAGATTTCTTGCCTGATTTGAAGGTTTTAGAGAGAGAGACTGGAGGTGACTGCTGACACTGTCCCTTTGTTTCTGTGGACCAAACACTATGATTTCAGTCTTGTCAGAGTTTAGCTGGAGAAAGTTGTTTTGCATCCACACACTGATCTGTTGGATGCAGTGACCAAGTGAGTCCACTGGTCCATAGTCTCCTGCTGCCAGAGAGACGTAGATCTGAGTGTCATCTGCATAATTGTGGTAGGACACGTTATTGCTGCTTATTAACTGGCCTAATGGCAGCATGTAGAGATTGAACAACAGGGGGCCCAGGATTGACCCCTGAGGCACCCCACAGGTCAGGGCCATGTCATCTGAGACACAGTTTCCAATTTCAACAAAATACTTCCTGTCTTCTAGATAGGACTTGAACCAGTTTAGTACAGTACCAGAGATGCCCACCCAGTCCTCTAGTCTCTGTAAGAGGATCCCATGATCGACAGTGTCAAAAGCAGCACTCAGATCTAACAGGATCAAGACTGAGACTTTGCCTGCATCAGTGTTCAGTTCAATTTGTGGAAAAGTCAGTAAACCATTTTTTTTTAATTTTTTTTTTTACATAATTTGAGGGTGCTGATTCAAAATATTTTGTTTATCAAGCTGGATTTTGAGTTCTGAGCCTTCTAATTTGCATATTAATAATATATATAATTTATGAATATATTATCCATCCATCCATCCATGTTCTTCCTCTTATTCCTCTACTCCTTCCACCGCCCAATGACATTTTTTTTTTCTTTTTCTAAATGGGATAAAGGTAACAAAGTAAATCCCATAAGAAAAAAAAATATTTTAATGAGTCTTAAACTGGAAATCAAACTAAGAATGGAAATGAATCAAATACAAATTTAAGAAGTTGCCTCTCCAGCTCTAGGAGACCATTAACCATTTTCCTTGGAGTCACTGCAAAAATCACAAAAAGTTACACATCAGGATTTTATGTTGTGTGTAATGTGTGAGATAAGGAGTTTAGAAAAAGAAGTGCTAGTTTACTTTAATTCTAGCTGTATTCTTAGTCCACACTGGCAGCATTCTGGCATGTCTGATCTGGAATACTTCGACATTTGTAGCCACTTACACAGAACAGACCTGCTCTGTGACAACTGCATTTGTTTGTCTTACAGTCGAACTTGTATCTGCAGGTAATCATCAAGTTGTAGGTTTTTGGGATTGCATCAGTTTGGGTTCCAGGTTTCCACTGATTACGTTCCATCCCATTTCCTCTACAGGTTGTAGAACTGGATTTGTTCTGTTCGACACTCGTATGCCGACGTTAGCTGACTGAAACTGAGAGGCGAACGTTCTTCCTCTCAGAATACAAATGACATGGGGGAATTTACTTAGCCTCATTTAAAAATGAATACTCTTGCTTTTGTTGGGTATGTTGGATAAACGCCTTATATCCATACACCAAACTGACGTTAGCATAAGCTAACCCTCCTGTTCTAAAGCACAGGCAACTCCTGTCCCGACACACAGTCACTCCAACAGACCCGCACCCTGTCATACCGACAACCCTCCACCCCGACATGCCCCCATTCCGACACCAACGAACCAGGACTAAACCAGGACTAATCTTGAACGAGAGAGAGAAAGAGACAGAACCGCCATCCTGTATTGGAGGGTATTTGTCGTGCTCCGTGCCATTAGAGCGCAGAGCTTTACGCACGCTGCTCTGTTGGCATGAGAGGAGGCCTCATACTCCTGACCTCCTGCAGGTGAGAGCACGTCGAGGTGCCAGGTTAATATCCAGATTCCTAAATCTTTGATCTTTTTAGTGCCTCTATCTGACTGCGAGCCCGGCACCGCTTCTCTCTCGTCACACACTGAGCTTCACAGCACGTTCTCGTGCGCCCTAGTCTTTGCCAACAGGTAATGAATGTCTCCTGCTCCTGTCCATTCACAAAAATGTCCAAACTGTCACACAATTCAGTTTTTCGTAGTTTCTATGCTTGGCCGTATCATTGCACCTTGAGCCAAATGCGCGTCACCGCGCACTTCCACCTGCAGTGTCAGGTAACGCCCCGTAACCTCTTCATTCATAAAAGTTCCAAATTCTTACACATCTGTCCCTTGTAGCCGCGCTGCTCGGCTGCACTCGCAGTACCAGGACCTTTACGCACAGTGGTGCGCCTTCAACAACAGGATTCTGCCACTTCGACCAAAGAACGTCAGTTTGGTGTATGGATATAAGGCGTTTATCCAACATACCCAACAAAAGCAAGAGTATTCATTTTTAAATGAGGCTAAGTAAATTCCCCCATGTCATTTGTATTCTGAGAGGAAGAACGTTCACCTCTCAGTTTCAGCCAGCTAACGTTGGCATACGAGTGTCTCTTTTGCTAGCACGTAAAGGAGTAAAAAGTCCGCTTTAACCAGGCTTTCTCGGTGCTTTGAGACGTTTCAGACTTCAGTGGACTTCACGATGCTATGAGAAAATTAAAAAGACAGCGAGAACACCTGTTTGAAGCAGACTTTTTTCCTCCTTTTTGTGTCTATCTGTGGAGCTTTAACTGGTCCCAGTAACTTCTTTTGCTAATTATAATGCTATTACAAAGTATTTACAAAGAATATGTATTGATCGTGTTGATTAATTCATTATTTGAAAAAAGCAGTGACATCTAGCCATTGTTTGAGCCATTGTTGTTATTGCGCCGGAAGTG